TGAAACAGAAACAGCAGACGAGCTGAATGAGACGCAGATTCACTCTCTGCCAGCAGGTGGCGCTTAAACCCTTCCTTGGTCTCCGCTGTAAACAAAGGAGCGTTGCACTTATGAACTTTAATATGCATTATACAGAGGCAAGATGAAAAAATACCATCAAATCGCATCGAAAGACAGTAAGTTCCCCTCAGACATACATTATAAACTCCTACCCCTAATTGAATCGCGATTTGTTTGGCATCTCAACCGATTTGAATCGTCACATATTTTAATCGATTTTCAACCAGCTCGTGGTTAATCGTTACATCCCTATTAAAAATACAGTGACATAAAGAAAAAATATATTTTAATATAAATTCTATTGATCAAGATTTGTATTTGTGATTACAATATCAACGGAAAAAAAAAAAAATAAAATATATATATATATTTTTTTTTTTGTTTGTTTTTTTTTTTTTAATCATGCAGCCCTACTGATGTAGCAATGGATCACCGGTGGTTCTTATGAAACATTGTGGCACACAACAGACCCAAAACAGATTTATGTAAACACTCATTGCCAACCTTCAAACCCAGATTGCCTACCAGTTTTGATCAGCCTCTTTGGCTGTGAGGACTGATTTATATCGACTGGCTTCCAAGGATAAGCATCAGGCCAGAAACATTTCTCTTGAGAAGAGAGGCCAGAAACTGCATCAGTCCACAGCTGAGAGAAACACTGATAAGAGCCCTGCCATCTAAGGCCATTAGCCATGCACTATCTATACAAGCAAAAACACGTGCAACTTCCTACTACTGAAAAACACTGTGACCCCTCCCCCAACACACACTCTTCAAAGATTATATCTTACACAAGTCTCTTTCACAGAGTAACCTACAATATCCAATTCGATCTACATTTCTGCAATATGCCTTACATCTCTGGTAAATGAAAGAGTCACTAATATGAGGCAATGATGTGATTCAATGCGTTTCGCAAATCTAATCCACTGGCTTTTCTCGTGCCAGTGAGAGTGCATGACTTCAGCAAGATGAGGCATAGCTGGGTGTCAGTCCTGCTGGTCTTGGACTGCACACTCAACGCATTTCCTTTGTGAAACTGCCCTGTGAGAGAAGCCAAGTCATATATGCTAGATTGTGACTCATCTAAAGAGCAGGTAGAGGTGCCAGGTGCCAGAGACCCGAGACCAGTTTCGGAGCTGTCCTATGACTATGGTCAGGGTTTTTTCTGGATGACTGAAGCTGATCCTGGACCACCCATATCAAGTAACCTCTTTTTTTAGTGATTAATTTTCCCACTGCACAGCCATGCTTTACCCAACACAACAGGTGGCGAGTGAAATTTCAACGACTTCCACATCAAAAGTGGAACAATAGAAGGAAGATACGGCTTTCTTGTCTAGTTATGCAACTTCTTGCGCCATGAGGAGGGATTGATCTCTGTAAGAACAGTTCATGTCTGTTCATTAAAATTTCTGACTGATATGATTAAGCTGCTAATTTTTTTATTTATTCATTTTGTGCTATGGCTGACAAATGATGAATTACATTATTAAAATTCTGTACTATTTTAAAAAATTAATTAAAACCAAAACACTAAAAACTAAAATTGTTTTAAATGCTACAAGTGAATTTAAGCATCATATAACATATAGTATGAAAAATGGATTTTCATTATGAAAATTGCCGAAGATTACATTTACCAGTGTTAATAAATTAGTGTGAATTAAATAGTGTTTTTTGAAGATTAAGTTAAAGTACAAGTTCAATGACGGCAAAGGACCCTTTTCCACATTTCAGTCAACAAACAGTCATCATAGTTTGGTAAACTTCTATAGTGGTGAATGGGGAACTGTAGCAATAACAATTTTTGCGTTCACATTTGCTCCAATAGTAAAACTGAATAAATAAATACTAATTTCATAAAAGCATTTACACTGTATTGATTACGGCAGTCAGAAGAGAGAAAGATTTATTTTTTTTAATTTAATGTCACCGTAATATAACACAAACTACAAATTCTTAAAATACAAATATAAAAAAATAAAAAAAACATTTTACAATAATTTATGATGTTAATAACTGTGAATCACGTCGTTACAGTCTGTGAAAAGGGTCCATTTAATACCCCAAAATTGGCTAATACATCATTTTTTTTTTAATGTTGCCTGATAACTGACATGTTATCGATTTACTGCATCCCTAATGAAAAAGTTAAAGAAACAACCCATCCCCAACAATAAGACTTAGATCTTCCAGCATGAAGACAAATCTAGTCTTAGAATAACTTTCATAAAGCACTAAGCTTAATCCGCATGCAAAACTAATTTATACTGCCAATTATAGTTCATAGCCATTCAGGTCTTGCAGATGCAATTCAAGATGAGCGTGGTCCTTATATTATATTCAACAAACCTGTATCTATTCTTAGCATACTTCTAAACAAAGGTGGACCATACATTAAAGATTTTACATAACGGTGGACAAATAATGAACCTGCTTCCACTGAGGAATGACAAAAGCCACTCCTTACAAGAGAAGCAGAAAAGCACAGGGCATAACACGATAATAAAAAGAGTCCGAAAATACGTGAAATAAACACATTCTTTCTGTACCAACCACTGACAACGCACCAGTTACAATTCTTAGTTGATGTATAAAATTAATGAATGTAAAGCTGGCTGAACAAGATTTTCTCTTGATCTAATGGAAAATTATGTACTTCAATTATCATCATGACTCATGATGCTCAGAGATTATTTTTTTCAAGCAGAGGAAAATGTATGTGGGCTCAAATTATCCTGTCCTGCAGCTTCCATTGACTCATCACTGAACGACATTTTGCTTCCTGATGTAAGTTCAAAAGCACTTCAGATGGACATGGGTGTCGAGGTATTTATTGTTTTTTTTTATTTATTGGTTGACTCTCTGTTTACTGTGCATCATGCCTTGCCCTATATTACAACAACAACAAACACTCCATCCATAAACATAATTCAGTGTTGAATGTTCCCTTTTATGTAAGCAGTGCACTTATGGGCAGACATTTTTAACCAAAGTAACTTAGGGGTCATTCACACAGGATGCTTTCTTGTGTCCATCTGTTTTTTGTTGTTGTTTTTTTATAGTTTTTCTATGTGGACAGTGAAATCCTGTAAATAGCATACAGACTGATAAGAAAAGAAAAAAATCAAACCTGCTTTAAAACCCAGCAACACAACTGTAGCTGCATAAATTTACAACAGTAACACTGCTTTAACAAAAAAGCAAAACAGACTTATTTGCCATCAAAACAAACATTTTAAAAATGCTGTCTAATCACTCTCGCTGTTCTTTGATGTCACACACAGAATGGTCTGTGCAGTGCTGCTTCAAGTCCAACATCTATTGTGTTTTATTAGGAGACGCACAACAGTTCTTCTGTGGCTTTATAGGTAATATTTTCATAGAAATGTAGTGGAGTGAAAAGTACAATATTTGTCTTTCAAATGTAGTGAAGTTAAAGTCATAAGTTCCCAGAAAAAATAATACTCAAGTAAAGTACAGATACTCAAAAAGTGTACTTAAGTACAATACTCAAGTAAATGTACTTAGTTACTGTCCGCCTCTGGTTAACAGCACTAGACAGACATCACAGGCACTGCAGTTGACATGCTGTGTCATAAATGTTACTTAGATGTTGTAGAGCACGGTCTGTGCGAACAGCCCCTTTCAGTGCATTAAAGGAGATCCATCTGAACATATTGGAGGCTAAATTCAAGCAAATCTCTCTGGAGTCCCAGCATCTTTCCTGACCAGATTTGACTAACTCAGCCTGTAGTAGTGTAGTCTCTGGTTTGAAACTCAGGGCAGTACTAATTTGCACACATATGTCATATAAATCTGTATGTAACAGAGCTGAAACTAACAATATGAAATATAGATGCCATGTGTTTCTGAAGAGAACCTGTTGGGTGTAGGCCTACATGAATATGGTAACATTCATAACAAATACATATAAGATGATTCTTCAATCAGAGGAAGTTGTGTGTCACCTAGGATGATTCTGAATAATAAAAAATATATATATTGTATAATTTTAAAAGATATATTTTCTTATTATTTTCTCCTTTTTTCTATTTTGGACCTGTTGCCTACCCAGACCGTTCATAATCTCTTTAAAAATCTACTGTGGCCTCTTTCCCTTTTTTATGACTTAATATTACTTAATAGCATATTCCAGTGGTAAAGCCTGTAATGCTACTGTCTTTACAGATTACAAGAACGAAACTAGACTCCAGTGTAGATGAAATCACTGTATGTTACCTTCCAGAACATCACCGGGGACGCGCGCTTCACAGCCTTTCCAACTTTAAACGTGTGTCCTCTTCATATTTTGTCTCGACAGCGAAGGAACATGATAATCCTTGAAATACAAACTGTTATTTTCCTGTTACGTGCCTCCGGAGACCGCGATCTGCTCTACTTTCTGAGGTGCGCTCGGTCGCTGTTAGTTCAGAACCACCGTTGGCTGAAAACACAGTGTTGTCCATGTCGTGCCTTTACCGTGGAGCTCACATCGTGACAGTCTACCTGAGTTCAGGTGCTACGAGTGTTTCATACAGACTGGGATTCCCTTCAGTCTCTCTCTCTTTCGCCTTCATCGGGACTGACAGCCACCTGAGTTTCAGCACTGTCGCACTCTGTAACCATCTACATTATCTTTAGACTAGGAGAGGAAACAAACAAACGAACTTACCCAAACGAAGCCAAATCCTAAGGCGACAGCGCGATCATTTACGGAGAGATAAAATAGCGAAGTTTTTGGCGTAGTTAATATCGCGGCTGGGCGACCTCAGCGGTTCCAGGGCTGCTGACGTAGGATGATGATGATAAACGCACATTTGCATAAGTGTGAAGTCCTCTGTGATTGGTCGAAGTTGAATTCGTTTGTTTGGAATAACTGGGACGCCCATCTGAGTCCTCAAGTTGAGTGTTAGCAAAGATCCATATCGTGTACTTAAAATGTTACTGGTAATCTGTAACGTAAGAGCATTGTACGCAAAACATGAAGTTAGAACGTTCAACAAACAAGATGGCCGTTCCGGGACGTCAGCCAATCAGCGAGGGCTTTACATTGACTGTGAATCAGCCTATGGGAGTGGAATGAGAGGGAGGAGAGAAGTGGAGAAGTGGGGAAAAGTTTCTGTCGGTCTCTGATATTTGATCACCTCTGGTGGATCTTTTGCGAACTGCTTCGTGTAAACACTGACATGACAAATCCAGCAGAAACTGGAGCATGTCAAATAGAAAACGTATAATCAATAACCAAAATGACTTGTTTTATCTAGCACCAATTTATTTTTAGGTTCCACAACATTTTTTTATACAACTCACATTGAACGCACAACAGATGCGATTAACCCTGCTTACACCATGTTCACTTGCCAGCATTGACAAATTGAAACTGTCATTTATGTGTAGCACAAAATCTGACTGAACATAAAAATAACCGTTGTTTTTGTTAATTATTTCATCTGCGGGTTGTTAGATCTATAATTCTTTAGTAATTTACATGAATTTGAGTAAGAGATTGTGAATTATCGTGTGAATTACCCGTGGTCTGCGTTTACTTCCAAAAATGTAATGTTATCACCTCATTGCTGAAAAATAAAATGTAGCTTTCAAAGATATTTTATTTATAATATTCATGGGGCATTGGGTCAAAACAAGTTTGTATGCTCCCGAATGTGCACAATCTCTTACCTATATATAAAGCTTCCGTTTTAAAAGAAGCTGTGAGTTCGTGCAAGCATGCACGTCTGCTTACACAAAGCATCACACAGCCAAATCTATAATACGAGAAAAAAATATATCTATTTTTTGCATCTCTCACACCTTGTGGTGACTTGGAGTTCGAACTTGGATGTAGATCACATACAAGTATATGATTTAAAACCACATTTGTAAGTGGCTCCGAATGGATATTAAAAAATAAAATTGTGTTTTCAGTGTACAATCTGTGGCAGATGAGAGTTCAGATTTTTTTTGTCCCAGTGTAAATACAGCCTAAAGGCAGTTTCATACCGAGCGCAAAGTGAAAAAGCAAGGCGAATCGCCGATGAATCTCTTCTGCGATACTCTTCTTCTGTGTTTGTTTACACTGGTTTTTGAAACAGCACCACCACTCTTGCCCTTTTGTGCAACAGCAGTTGCTCCGGGAACGTGATCTAAGCTCAAATTTTATTGGATGGCCCTTTTAAAATCACGGAGCGACGGGAAAAAAATAAAAAAATAAAATAAATACAAACAAAAAAAAAAGACGAAAAAAAATTATCGCTTTTTCGCACCACGAATGATCGCGCCTGGTGTGAATAACCCCATAGGGATCTATTGTTTTGACTCAAAAGCGTCATCACACCGAATTTTCACGTTCAGTGTTAAAAGGCCTTAAGAGATCACAATTGTGGAGGAAAACTCCACAATACAACATCTGAGTGCTGTACTTGCCTTATTGCGTAAGGGTCATCTATCTTGGGCTGATCAAACAGGTGACTATTGCATAGCTTGACACTGTCTACCACTTTGCTTTTGAAGAGCTGGATGTCTTTGTCATACCTGCACAGAAAGCATTTATATTAGAAAGCAAAAAACAGTCGAGTGTACAGGATTTCAAAACAAGCTCTTAACTACTAGAAGGCACAGCTAAGAGGTAGGGCTGCACGATTAATCGAATGTGATTGTCATGCGTATCTCGTCAGTAAAGCCGCTCCTGTGATTAGTAGGAAATCTCCAGCACATGCTTTCATATGGACCAGCATTTACTACACAGAGCCATAGTTCACTGACAAGCTACACAATCGCGTTCATAATCGGCAATGAATCGCCTGCGATTTTGAACGCGATTTTGTGTAGCTTGTCCGTGATCTACGGCTCGGTGTAGTAAATTCCGCTCCATCTGAACGCATGTGCTGGAGATTTACTACTAATCACCAGAAGCAGCTTTACTGACGATATTGGCATGAAAATCGCATTCGATTTTTTGCCCAGCCCTACTTTATTATAATAAAAATTATAATAAGACAACCCTCTACATTGCGAGTAAATCACTCGCATATGCGACTAAATCTTACTCTGGGCGACTAAATAATGTCTAACATTAGCCATTGTCTAATAAATTCTTAGATTTTACACGCTAGTATGTGTGTGAGAGGCGTTCAACACAGATTTTCACTCGATAAACACGCTGACTTAGCGCTTGAGAGTTTCGCTCTCCGTCAAGCGATCTGTACTATTTGGATGCGCTCAATGGATCATGTCATGTACTCAATGGATGCGCAGTATGTAGCACGCAGCGCACCTGTATTTGACGTACCGTAAACTAGTGTGAAGGCACATGACTCGCCGTCGCTTTACTGATAGCGCGGTTTCTCTCACACATGCAAAGAGAGAGCGAGAGT